CGGGGCGCTGACCCGCGCGCGGTCGGGTGCAGCTCCGCTCCGGCCGGCCCAGCTCCCCGCCCCCACCGACAGGCACGGACACCATTTTAGGTCGCGACATCCCGCGGCCTCCGGTCCCCGGGCCGCGCTCCGGGCGCCTCTCGGGCCGGGGGCGCCGGGACTTGGGGTCCCCAACCCTCCCTCCATGTTTACCCGGCTAGGGGCTGTGCTTTCAACGGGCCGGGAGTTCCTCCCATCCGCCCCAAGGGACGGAGGCGGCGTCAGGGCCTCCCTACCGGGCGCCCCAGGGGGGCGGTGCGGAGAAGGGGGCAGTAAACTAGGTGGGGGAGGGGCGGGGGTATTTACCCGCCCCCCCCAGGGGGCGGGGCCAAGAGCGGGTATCTGCCCCAGGCGAGCTTACTTGCTCCGCTCCTAGTGCGGGCCGAGACCCGGCGGTCTCTGCCCTGCTCCAGCCGCCGCGACCGCCGCCGCCGCCGCCCTCCCTGCGGCCGCCGCTACTTCCTGCTTCTCTCCCGTTCAGCCGCCCCCCCTCCCTCAGCTCCCTCCGCGCTCGGGTCTGGGCTGCCCCTTCCACACTCGCCATTGGATAACACCTCTGTCGTTCAGTGCGGTGTCCCGCCCGACCCCGCCCAGGATTGGCGTTAAGCGCTGCCGCTCGGGACTAGCTCCGCACAATCCGCTCATCCTCATTGGGCAAGGGGCCTAGTCCCTCCGAAGATCCCGCTCCCCATTGGTTGCGGCGGGGCCCACCCGACCCCATCCGTGCGCCTCAAACACTATTGGCACCTGCCGCTGTCGCTTAGAAAAAGCCAAGCTGATTCCCTGCTTTCCTGCTGGAGGAGGTGACTATCCCAGGTGCATCTCGTCCCCCTCACTCCCCATTGGCGGCGATCCTTCAAGCCTGCAGTTCACTTGTGCAAATGCAGAGAACTCTCAGCTCCGATTTGGTGGGGACTTTGAGGAGAGCCTCGTCGAGTGCGAGGGAGCCCGGATGTGTAGATCTGTCCGCACAATTTTCTCAATCGTGCCGTGCGTGAAATCACAGAATGAGACGTCACCCAAAACATTACGTCATCTGGCTGACCATTGCCTCGCGGTTTCCCACTGTCTCCACTATCCCTGGACAGACAGAGGTCTTCATGCCCCTAGCCTCGCGCGGGCCGGTTCCCGGGGATGGCGTCACCCATAGCTGCTCCCTCTGCGGGAGGGCCGGGACCGGGGGCGGGGACTGGAGAGTGGAAGGAGAGAGGACCTGAAACCCGGGACCAGTGTGGAGACCGGAAGTGGGGAAGAGGTGACGTTGGCGTGCTGGCGTGGCCTGGGCCATTCCCAAAGGGGCAGACTTAAAGTGACATACGGACAGGCCTCCTCAGCTGGGAAGGGGGGACCCCCCACATCCATTTCCCATTTAAGGGCTCTCTTTCCCCACCGCTAGCACTGAGGGGAGGGGTCCGAGGCCGAGTTTTCCCGCGCTTTGTTGCCCCGCCCCCTGGAGGCGGGGCAGGGGAGGAGTTACTCCGCAATGAATCGCCTTGGTTCTGTCTAACGAGCCCCGCAGAACTCATCCCGAAGCGCAGGCTGCCGCCTCGTGCGCTCTTCTGCCTGCCCACCAGCCTCCGCAGCCAGCCGCGAACCGAGCGGCTCGCACTCCCCGGCGTGGGGGATTCAAGGGCGGGGCGGGGGGTGTCTCCGGACCACTGCACCCAGGACTCTCAGGCGCGCCCAGAAAGTTTGCATGGGTAATGGAGACTGCATTGAGGTGTGAATCAGGGCTTCTGGATCGGACTCTTGGGGCCACCGGGCAAGTCGCTCAGCCTCCCTGCACGTGTTTTCTCATGAGTAAAATGGGGATTATACTACCCAGCTGACAATTGTTTTTGTGAAGATTAAAGGGTTTAAATGTAAAAGAGCTTTGAAAAATGATTGGCAAATGGGATTAGCAGCCCCCCAAGCCCCGCCGCCACCTGCTTTGGTGAGGCTGCCTGCGGGTGTTCCAGCTCACAGCCTCTCCCCCCGCCCTCCCAACAAGAAACTAGACTCCTTACTGGACATAGCGACCAGCATCCCATTCCCACCACCTCCTCTGGATCTTCCTGTACCGAATAATAAGTTACTACTCATATACTACTCAGATAACACAGGAATCAAATGGACTACATCTGTGGAGACAGACGATGGAAAAGCTCCATATGATCAGTCAGAACAAGGCCAGGGGCCAACCGCAGAACAGATCATCAATTGCTCATATGCAAGTTTAACTTGAAGCTGAATAAAATTAAAAAGTCCACAAGAAACAAAATACGACCTTGAGTGGATCCCACCTGAATTCAGAGGCCATCTCAAGACTAGATTTGACGCCCTGCGAGCTACCATCTAAGATACATCTACTAATACCATCCTGGCTGGAGCAACGAGAAGGAAGAATGCCAAAGACACAAGGGAAAGATTAGTCCAAAGGTCTAATGGACCACAACCACCACGGCCTCCACCAGACTAAGTCCAGTACAACTAGATGATGCCTAGCTACCACCATTGACTGTTCTGACAGGGATCACAATAGAGGGCCCCTAACAGAGCAGGAGAAAAATGTAGAACAAAATGCAAATTCACACACACACACACAAAAAAGACCAGACTTGCTGATCTGACAGAAGGTGGAGAAACCCCAAGAGTATGGCCCGCGGACACCATTTTAACTCAGTACTGAAGTCACTCCCCAGGTCTCCCTTCAGCCAAAGATTAGACAGGTCTATAGGACAAACAATAACACACGTGAGGAAGGTGTATCATATTTCGGTCACGTATACTAGACTAAATGGACACACCAGGCCAAAAGCAAAGATAAGAAGTCAGGAAGGGACAGGAAAACTGGATGAATGGAAACAGGGAAGCCCGGGTGGAAAATGGGAAAGTGTTGACACATTGTGGGTTTGGGAACCAATGTCACAAAACAATCTGTGTATTAATTGTTTAGTAAGAAACTAATTTGCGCTGTCAACTTTCACCTAAAGCACAATAAAATATATAGGGAGAGATTTGACTCATTGAATACTAATGACCAAAAACCAGACGAGTTGTGGGATGACATCAAGGGCATCATACATGAAGAAAGCTAAAGGCCATTAAAAAGAGAGGAAAGAAAAAACCAAAACAGGATGTCGGAAGAGACTCTGAAACTTGCGTTTGAATGTAGAGCAGCTAAAGCAAATGGAAGAAATGATAAAAGAAAAGGGCTGAACAGAAGATTTCAAAGGGCAGCTGGAGAAGTCAAAGTAAAGTATTATAATGACCTGTGCAAAGACCTGGAGTTAGAAAACCAAAA